TGCAGTAACTGGCCAGGAATTCCACTGCCGATGGGAGCTCTTCTCATGAACTTTCTTACCACCCCAGTTCAATAAGGATGTAAAGATAGTGGATGGAATTTGGAGGAGGACGAGGGAGGTATGGAAGAGGTTTGTTAAAGTAATGGGGAAAGTCTTCAGGTGTTGAAGATCAGTGTAGTTGGCCAACTGGTGATCCTTGGGCTGGAACAAGCTTTTGAAATAAAGCTCTAACAAAATCAAGATGTGGCAGAAAGTTTGCCTGTGCTTTTGGCTTGTAAGAAAATGGTTCCCAAAAGAGCGAATCCAATGCTTTAGGTTAATCTGGATTGTAAATCTAATTCTGTAGAGTATTGAAGCCCTTAAGATGGCACCAACTTCCTTGCCATCTGTGCAGAAAGGTCAGTTTGTATGGCAAAAATACTCTGGCTCCCAAGTTACTATAGTGCAGACCCTGAAAAATATAGATTTGCTATTCCTGGGATACAGTTTAAATTAATGGTTTTCAAATTTCATACCTTCTGGAAACTTTTTGGATGAATTCATCTACTGAGGAACCTTCCCCTATAGAGAAAATTCTGGAAAGCATTAAAGGGGCACTCTGGTTTGGTTAGTACATAATGGCCAAACTATGGTTTGGTGACAGAGACTTTGCTTGTGCTTATAGTTTGCTTGATTTGAACCCAGTGGCAATCTAAGGAAGTAAGAGAGAGAATTAATGTGATCTAGCAGCATGGTATGCATGATCATGTGCAATTCCAATCTTTCGAAACCAAGTTGAGAGAGAGCTGCTACTCTAAATATAGCATTGCTTACAAAAAGATTAGCCTTAAGGTACCAGGGTGGTTTTTAAAAAGGAAAGTAGTAATAGAAGCTTGCATTTTTAGCTGTATCACTATATATTCTATATCTTAAATAGTAAGCTTAGTTCCCTGAGTGTCAGTCCTTATGTAGATGGAAACTCAAAAGGGAAGGCAGCAGAATTAAGAAACCCCTCCTCCCTGGGCTTTTTTAGCTGGAAAATCACCTGAACTCAGTGCGCCACCTCTCAGGTGGGTTGCCATTGCCATTCTTAGAGAACGAGGGAGGTGTTTATGGTGAGTTCCAGCACCTCTTTTTCTATTAAGAATAGCACTGGGAACACCAGTATTTACAGTTGTACTTTAAAAACCTTGAGCAACAAAATGGAGGGGGTGGGAACCCGAAATGGATTAATTCTCATTGACCACATAATGCTGACTGATAGGAGGAAAAGGGAAAATGGGTGGAAGCTGGAGTGGTTATGGAGTATCCTTGAAACTACCATGGCTGGGGCTCGGAGCAGTCTGCACTGCATCATATATAGGGAGCCACCGTGACTAGTTGCCATTGACACCCTTATCCTCCATGACTTTGCCTACATTAAAATGCAGGCTTTGCTCTCACAGAAGGCAGTGGTGGCCATGAACAAGGAGCAGGGGCAGTTGCCCCAGGTGCAAAAATTCAACACCTGGTGCTTCCTCAATACTTCTGCATGCTTCTGTTGCTGGGCTCTGTTGAAAACAGCTTCTCTATACGAAGCAGGAAGTGATCTATCCAGACAAACGAAATGACTCTTATCTCTGCGGTGGCAATCTCCTGGGTGACACGGACGCTGTTAGGAGTTGAATGCACATACGTACTCCGTCCGTTTCCCTCCCACTCACCCCTGCCCCTCTGCACAGCCCCGGACGCTGGCTACCCATGCTATGCCACTGCTAGATGGGCATTGACCTGATCCAGCAGGTTAAGCCCCTTTGAGAGCTGTGTAAGGGTGGTAGCCATCACAACATCTTCTGGTAACTAATTTCTTAAGTTCTGCATCCTACATATTGAAAAAGTCCCATCCTGCCCCAGTGGAGGCTGGTCCATTGCACCACCCTCAGCCAGCCTTCACCTGCCAGCTGTTGTACTTTCATCAGATCCAGGGCTGACTCTGGCTCTATCCACTTCTTGTCTCCCTTGGCTTCTGCCCTACTGGTTCCATGGAGCACCACTCCACCCCCTGACCCAAATGTATATTTATATTGGTGGACATGGCATGAAATCCTACAATCATCTGTACGAAAACTAAAACAGGGGAACTCTGCAGTACAGAAACAGCGGCTTTATTAATGCTGCAAGGTAAAAACAACAAACCCCAAACCCATGGTTGTAAAAACTGTAGGCCTCTATTTACACTGCAGGCTTTGAGGGAAAGACCTTATTTATCCTTCAGCAAGCAAGTTCTCACATATAAATTGAGAAACTTTGTGCTTCTTTGGGGTATATAAATATGCCTCGGCTGTCCAATTTAAAGAAGTTCATTCAGCCATGTATTTGCCAGAGTCCTGTGATTCACTCTTTAATTGTTTTCTGATGTAAATTTATAAATCCCACCCATGACCTACTTTCCTTTTGGGGAGAAGTATTCTCTTTTAATATTTACTTTAAAAGATTAAATGAAACTGCTAAAGTAATGAAAAATTAATCTGGTGCCTTTTTTAAAAAACAACAACAACATTAGCATGTTAACTGCTACAATACTTTTTAAAAACGGGTAAAAGTAGTTATGTTGACTCACAGGAAAAAATTCATATTGGGCCAGTACCTTCATTAAAACAACCAGTTAAGTCACATCATTCATTATTATGCAAGCTTTTGAGCTAAGCACCATTAGATGGCTAGATGGTACAAAATAATGCAAGGCAATGGGATGAGGAACAGGATTTTATTTTATTTTTTTGGCTGGTGTTCAAGTCACACACATCTGGATCTAACAAGAGTCTTATGATGGAGTGTGGCAGCAGGAGCCCATAAAACTTTCAAAAGAACATCAAGCATAATATAATCTGCCTTGCTCTTGAATACTGTGGGAGGGTCTACTACCTTGTAAACTTTAGATATTTCATTGGGAAAGGTATAATTTAAAAAGCATTTGGGGGATGATCATCTTGCCCTTGGTACACTGGTCACTATTAAATCCAATAGGAATATGCAGCGGCAAATGGTTCCGGGTAATTCTTTGTTACTGTTTATATAGTTGAATATAATTTGGTGCGCTAATACTTATTACTGAGGCCCATAGCATTCTTCTGTAGTTGTGAGGAAGTTTTACTTTGAGGAAGACTCCTTGGGTTTCCCCCAGAGTTTCAAAAGTCTGCTTTCCCTTTGGATATTTAAGATGCCTCAGAACATTTCAGTTCCTCACAGCATGCAAGTCTCCCTTCTCTCTTCAATTGATCAAAGTACTTCAGCCAAATTATGGCACACGTTGGGTTTGGTTATATATACAGTGTCTCAGCATGTGGAATGGCTGTAGAGATGTAGCTCCCTTGGTGATATTTTTGACCACATCTCTAATCTTTCTGCGCAGGAAAATGAATTGATGAGATGGAAATGGATTAAAACTTCCAAATGCCCCAGGACATTGAGAAGTATCTGATCAGACAAGGTTTCATCTAGGTTTCCTGTGAATTAAGAGTAGAATTGCAGAAGGTGGTGCTGTATTCCAGTGAAATGCTAAAATGTGCAACACTTTAATTTAAAAAACCGCCCTGCAACTTCTAGATTAGTAATTCAGGGGCAACACTTCAGAATTATCGTTTGCAATCTAGCAACAACTTTCTGGTGATAGCTATGAGGTTGCAATCTGATAAATAGTCCTTAAACCATTGAAACAATACATGTAGAGCTCCAAACCATTTCTTGATTCAGTCAGTTTGTAAAAGCCACATAAACCGGAGTGTTCATTTACAGATGTTTCACCTGTTTTCTTTTGTCCATGATTGACAGCAACTTGCAGGAACAGTTCAAGTGTCTCACATATGAAAACCTCTCTGTGTTAGCTGGACTGGGTCTGTTTAAATAGTTGCATCTTGGAAAGGTCAAATGCACCCAAAGGAAATGCTGATAAAAAGAATTGCTGCCTTATCACTCATAACAGGCATGCCATAAAGCA